GCCGCCAAAGTAGAGTTCTGCGTTGTTTTCGGCCTATGATGTGAGGATGAAAGGGTTGTCGAATACAACGGATGCATGGGGCGTCACACGGAGGCACATGATTAGTTGTCAAGCCTGCCGGTCATCTCCAGGTAAATGACAAGAGATTATGAATATTGATTTATTCTATGCTTATGAATACTAGTATACCGATTTTCGTGAAGTTCCAGTCCGTCATATACATGCTTGGGTATGAAGAAATGCGAAATTAATAGGAGAAAGATAATCCCTCCACTAAGTTCGACATCTCCGCGTTCATCCAATAAACGGCGCACTACTCGCAGCGCTCGCTCCCAGATTCCGGGTTGCAAAGCCCATGGTGTTTGCCTCGTAGTGGAAAGCGATGTAGTACTGATCCAAAAAGGGCACACCGGTGATCCAGTTCGTTGTATCCCCTGCATCATTTGCCGCCGGTTGACAAAAGCCAGTACCGTCGTTCGTCCCGTCCTGTATAAGGCTGAATGTGTAGTTCCGTCCTTCAGTACCAGCAAAGTTCCATGTCATCTGAGAACCGCAAGGTATGAGGTAGTTGCCTGCGCTGTCCGGTCCTTGCGCTCCGAGAAGGTTCATGAGCACGAGCCAGTCGTCGTGTGGGAGCCCGAGGAGGTTAGGGTCGCCTGTGTCAAACGTGATGGCAGGATGGGAAAACTGGGCCGTTGCGTTGATCACAGAAGAGGAAGAGGAGGCCTGGACGAATCTCGTGGACGCAGGGTTCGTCCACATGGACTGTGCACCTATCGGGATCCAGTCGACTGCTCCTGTGAACTTGTTCGCATCCAATCCGCCGAGGGTGCCCTGTGATATCACCCCTTGTGGTACGCCCTCTGTGCCGTCCAACTGGTAGAAGGCAATCACAGGGTTCTTGATGATGCCTTGGAGGTACATGTTCTCGATGAAATTCGGGTAAGTTCCCGTGCTGCCACATTGTGAATAATAGGCCTTGGCGATACCGAAATTGCCGTCTAAGTCTTGCCCAGAGGGGATCTGAGCCGCCGCGCCAAAAGTCGTTTGGGGGATAGAGAGTGAACCAAACGAAAGGCTATCGTTCACTCTCAGGGTGACGAATGTTGCGTCTGGTCCACCATCTCCGTAGGCTAGCGTGTCCGTCCTGTTGAGGTTCACGAACTTCGCGGAGGGGACGTACTCGTTATGCCCAAGGCAGGACGTCTCCGTACAGAAAGTACTGACGACCCATGCATTCGTTGCACCCGCGTCGAGCAGCACGTTTACCGGTGGCTGATGCCCTCCCAACACGAGGGGTACATGGTACGAGAAGTTCAGAGGCAGAGTAGTGATCTCCGTATCCGCCGCAAACGTCGGGGCGCTAGCGCGCACACGCGCAGATATGTTTGGCGGCCCATCAACGACGAAATGATCCACGGTAAGCTGCCCAAAGTTCGTCACAGCCGGGTCTTGCAGATTCGTGATCGTCAGGGTGTGTACGGTGTTGCTAAGTCCTGTGATGGAGCTGAGGAGCCGGGGCGACTCTGTCCCATCTGTACTTGCGTTGTAGTAAGACACTTGTTGGCAGGAGTCGTCGATACATAGCTGGGCTAGTCCGCCATCGGATCGTTGATAGCCCCACCACTGGAAGGTTGTGGATGGCTCTGCGTGATATTAGCCAAGCCAGGGATACACAAAGGAGTTGGCGTACGTGGAAAGACGAAGTTGACAGTTCCATTATCTCTTGGTCCCAATAGGAACTGAGAACCGCAACCGGTCGAACCTTGCGTGCTCAGTATATCCCATGACGAAGTTGGGGAGTAGGTGACAGCGTGGTCGGTGGATTGGATGATCTTCCCTGGAAAAATAATTGCGATTGCGCTGAGCGCTGCTAGGCGCGCTTGTGCGAGCGAAGGCGGAGACATGAGCTCGGGAAGGGAAAAGGAGTGTCAACGTCCAGGAATGGCCGTAGTCGATGAGAGCGAAGTCCTTATACTAATTAGCACGGAGACGCATGCGCTGCAAGCAGAGCATACGTTTGTTACGAGGGAGAAGTCTGTACAATTCTGATAAAGCGGCGTTGGGTGGACGAGTGAGGGCGGTGTTCCTCGACCATAACCCTGACTTATATGGGTCCGGTTGTGTGCGATCAGGAGTCAAAATCAGTGTAGAGAATGTTATATAATACGTGGATTGATACATTACGACCGGTGCTGTTGCAATCGGCAACCAAATGGCGGTTTGTGTGGCAGGGTTCGAGGGTCAAGCGGTGCACACACCGGCGTCGGCACACGCGAAACCCGTGCCAAGCCCGGTTGACGATGACTCATGTCAGAGGGTCTTATCCCCGAGCTGAAGAATGCTGGGTTCTGTATAGCGCGATCGAGTGGCTCGATATCCTCCATTCACCCTTGATTTCAAAAGACACTGGGGTAAAAGTCGACCGGGATAGCAGATCAGTACCCATTGCTCGTGTTGTTTGGCACTCGCAAATTTGCAGCAAACCCGCGTGCAAGTGTCAGAATGCGGAGTGCAAGAATTCTCCAATACAGTAGTAGGTACCAATATACGAAACTAGGGAAGATGCGAATCCACAAAAACCTGAAAACAGAAGATGTCACGATGCGCATGGAGCAAAAGGCGAGACACTCCATCGCTGGGCGAAAATCGGAGGAAAGCAGGAATTGTTAAGGACAGCAGGAGAGATGCCGATCTATGTGCTCAATCATCATATACACGCGGCCACGCTGCAGTGCAAGTGTATTCAAACGATGAAATGCAAGTAGTATGCTGTGTATTGTCGCGTGTTGGTGATCGAAGACTCTGTTAACTGGTGCATGTGGCTCATGGGATGAATGGTCATGCATGCAGAGAATGCTCAAAGTTCGGCAGCTGCTGTCGTAGGAAAGATTGAACATATAAAGAGCATTCCACGGCATACCCGCCGTTCTCCGGTTGCGCGAAGTCGTCAGGATTAACTCAGCATGCGGCAGAATATCATCTGGATGCATCTCTAGTGTTGACGGGAGCTTGAGCCTGCGAGATTCCAATATGTTCTTGATTTTGAGATCTTGGATGGATATGATCTTTCAGCTGCCAGAGGAGTGTGTTTCGAGGTTGGAAGAGCCAGCGCCGATGTCCGTGCTGCATGGTGACTAAAGTCCAGTCCTGATCCATCCTCAGGTGCCTGGAGTGTTCGGTCCACTTCCACAGACTTCTGGTTGGTGATTGTCAATGTACACGTTGTGGCAGGCATGGCAAAACAATATTTGCTGATATCAATCATTATGGACGAGCCCAGAGCGCGAACTCCGCGCTACGTCATCATTCGAGTAGGAAGGATGAACCTACTCTACATATAAGCTCGAACGTTTTGGGAGGACGTGAGGGTGCCGAGGTGTTGAATGCCAGGGTGTTAACGTGGGAAGGATCACTCGTTTAGGGGCGTTGAGCCCGCGAGGGTCGATTGCGAGCAGAGCGCGAAACCTTCGGATAGAGGAAGCAGGTACTAGGAGAAAGCGTGTATGAAACGCGAAGCGACGAAGACGCGGATGCACGAGGTCAGAAGAACGAACAGGAGAAGATGCGAAGGTGCGAAGTAGAGAGGAAGGTGTGGGGATGTTATGCGCTTTATGAGCTTCCCTGTTGTGATTTGGGCGAAGAGAACGGAGGTTGGCCTGATTTGGTAGGGAAGATGATGTCATTGTTGGATGATGATATCCTCGTGGAGCAACAGGAATGCAACTACAATCTAGGCGTTTTCTGCTCGGTTTCGGGGAATGCGGCACAGGAGCGGGCCGGGAGAATGCCCGCCAGTGCCAGTTGAATGGCCAGGGACCGATGGTTCTGGAATGTGCAGGATGGGGAGTAATAAGGACACTTAGTCTCGCCTGTTACTTATGGATATGTTCGATGGGATAGGAGTATCCAGGGAGGGGGTCAGGCACGAGAGAGCGTGTGATGGTGTGTGGACTGATGGGGGGAGGTCTGGATGTGGCTCGGGTGGGATGGAAAGCGGACGCAAGGAGGCGCAGAGAGGGGAGATTTTGAGGGCGAAAGCGGGTTACTATGACTATTGTATGTGTGCCTTGGGAGATGTATGACGTGTCCTTGTGTGAAAGCGGTGCTGTTGAAGAGTATAGATATTGGGGGTTATTGTCATGTGGACCGTTGTGTAACAAATGAGAGAGAAGAGAGAGAGAGAGAGAAGGAAAAGGGATGAATACCATGAAATGGAAATGTCTCATCCTATGGGCAAAAAAATAAAAGAGAAGAGCGAAACGGCGTGTGAAGAATTGGGGGCTGACCTATGGGGAGTGAAATGAGATGAGGTGAGGTGACATGAGAGTGGTGGGGGGGATGCGGCTACATTCGCTATGGTGGGACAGGGCCGTAAAGGGGGGGGGGTGTGAAGGGTGGACCCAACCACCAATGCACCCTCGTCCCCTCATCCCCCCTCCTTCCTCTCCGACCACCACCTCCCCCCTCCTAAATGGCTTCGCCTTCACCAACAACGACATCAGCGCAACGACGCGACTCGACATCACTCCCATTTCGTCCACCAGACTCCTACTCCTTCCTCTCCCTCAGATGGCGTCGCGCTCAAGCAGAGGTCTCATTCAAAGAAGTCGAACGTGCCCTCAAGACAAAGCTTAGGCAGGATATCAACCTCAAGGGAGACGACATAAAGAAGGTTTTCGAGTACGACGTCAGGAGGGACGGCGACTCGGGCGCTTGGTGGTTCAGGTTCATCGTCGAGATACACAAGTCCGCTTTTGAGCATGTCGTCCATGAGATTGGCTCTGCAAAGTCGTCTAACCTGTACGTCCTCTTCCCTCCCTCATATCCTCAGCTGACATCCTCCAGCACCCTCTGTGCAGAAGAAGACTCATACAAGGCCCCTCCGCCACCACGGGTTCCCACCCCTTCGCCACCAAAGGCGCTCGAACTGACTCCCGAGCCTCCCTTCAAGAAACAAAAGCTCTCAAAGCACTCGAGCGACACACTTCCCGCTCTCCCGATCATTGACTTCCCCACCGCACTTGTCGTCCCTTCTTCCCCTCCTCCACGGCCTGTCCACGTCCCCGAGGACAGCCCGTGGTATCTCGCATTCGACGACACCCCCGCTCCAGATTGTGCAATATTTGACTGTATGCGGTGGGACCATTCCCGACCTATGCTTAGGTTCGTCAACGACGCACACTCCTCCTTTGCACATTCCCCGTCTATGGAGTCGTCCGACCTTCCTACTTCCCCTGCTACGCCTATGAGTCCTGTCACCCCTTTGGCAGATGGCACAAACCTCCCGCGCGATGTCTCTCGACGAACGTCCTCGCTCAAGCGCACCCATACGCCTGCAGCACTTCCCTCCCTCCCAACGTCCTTCCAAATCCCTCAACCCATCCGCACGCCCTCCCTTCCTGAGATGCCTACCGGTTCATCCTTGCGCGTCTCCTCGTCCGCTGACAAGAACCCCTATTGCGCCACCCGTTCCCCTGCACCTCCTTCCCTCCCATCCATGCCCACCTCAACCAGCAGCTATCTCCTGCCCCCACCCATCGACCACCCCGCCCCAGAAGACCAATTCGCAGCGCAGATGAAAAAGGCCCGTGCGGGGATCTCAGGTTCCCTCCCAGGTGTCCCTCGCAAGCGCAAACTCGCAGACTTGGACTCGACAAGCAGGGCTGTTACCCCGCTTGAAGGGTTCGCGAGTGCACCCGAGCTGCCCATGCTTAGTGCCGATGCCTAGCCTCGAGGCATCACTCTTTCTGATCATGTATATGCAAGTCAAGTGCTCCACCGGATGGAGCTTTTCAAAACCTGTCAATGTTCCTCGATTGTTCAATGCCTTGCAACGCCTCGCCTCTGTACCTCTTGCCTTAATTCTTGTCCACCACACTCCTCGCATCCACCGTCCGCCATCGTCAGTCCACCTTGCTCAACACTTATCAATTTTTTATCCCTAGCCTCTTATCCATCTTCTGTCCTCACTCATCCCTTATCATTGGTCACTCCCCTCTGTGCTCTAAGGTCTTGCTGTCTATTTCTACGTACATATATCCTACCCATCGTTAGGTTGAGGGGCTGTGATTGTATGCTATCTTGTGGAGGGAATGAAGTGTAATGCTAGAGCCTTGCATGGTGATTATCGAGTGAGCTACTGGGACTCGTATGCATCAGTATTGATCGGTGTTAATTGACTCGAACAGTTCTTTCACGCTCTTCGGCTGCCAACCCTCGCCATGCATCTCCCTCATCCCGTTCAACAATGATCAATTGAATGCCAACTTCCCGGCGGCCGAACCGCAACCTCAGGTCCGAATACCCGACAGCTCCCGAGCTGGCCTGGCTTCTTACGGTACAATGCAGTATAGTACGGTCAAGTCCTGTTCCTTCTATATCCTCGATTCTCGGTTCAGAAACTGTAGGCATACGTTACAACATATAGCGAAGTATGAACATGAGGCTTGTGTGGAGAAGTGGAAGTGTGTTTGCGGGAATGAGAAATGAAAAAAGGGGTAATGGTAGCATAAAGGGTCAATGTTAGTATACGTACGTATCTGAAAGAGCGTTGTGTATTATATTGTCAGAAGTGTGCATGGAGGAAACGGGAGGTGATATCGGGGGAGCCTGTTCCCCGAAATGCAAGAAGCACCAGCCCCGTGGGCCAAGAAGCATAAGGCGGAGAAGCATGATCAGAAGAAACAGATTAGAAGCGAGGGTATGGCATCGATCGAGATATACGTGTTGATGGGGTATGCGCGTCTTCTGCCCGCCGGACGGTGGACTTCCAGAGCCGGCCATCCATTCCTGGCCTTCACCATCGGTCCCACCAGTAGTCGTCGAGCGTCTTCCTTCGCTTCGGCGTCTTCTCCTTCCCAGTGGGAGGGACATTATCAAACTCCTTTCGGCCTGTGTGTTCGTTGTACCGCCATGTCCAGGATATGGGCTTAGGGCACTTGCTTGCATCAAACTCCCCCAGCAGTTGGTCGTCAAGCTTTCCTTGGCTTACCAGCGCTGCGTACCGCTGTGGGTCTTCCTGCATCAGCTCGGACCGTCGCACAGTCAGGTAGTCTGCTTGTAGGTAGGGATGGTAGCGTGGGGGCCAGTAACACGGGCCTTGGCGCTGAACACAAGCGCTGATGGAAACCATGAGCAAGGAATCTCATGGCCAGTTCTCGTGACCTACCTGCAGAAGGGTCGACCAGCCTTCGTGTATATCTTGTCTTCGCACTGAGAACCAGTGAAATCAGCAATGATGATCAATCGATACGCCAAGAAAACCCATGTACCTTGATCCTGCGATGCTTGCAGTGATAGCAGGCTGTGTTTGGTGTGCGCAATTTGGCGGAGCCCTCGGGATCCTGTTTGAAGACAGCCACCAAAGCGCTCGTGTTTTTCGGGGAAGCACTGGCAGTGCCGGGCCGATACATATGCAAGATCGTACTGTCGCCTCGAGTTTGCCAGTTCTCGGGAGGAGCATGCGCGAAGAACTGGTTTGTCGGAGACGTGGACACTGCTTTCCCTTTACTATCGAGCGTACCTTCTTCGGAGGAGGAGCGATAGGACTGCGCAGAGCCTCCGTCGCTGCCTTCTTCCTTGAGGTATGCCTGAGCCTGAGACGGTGTAATTATTTGGCTGCCAGACCAAGTGGAAGCCTGTGGTAGATATGCCGAACCTGCCGGCAGGTAATAATTTCCGTGTGCCTGCGGACTAATAGGGATAGCTTGGCCAGTCGCGAATGTTGCAGAGTATTGCGCAAAAGGCTCGTACACGCCCGGAGGGCCCCCATGCGTCGTGCTTGTGGGTGCTTGTGGGTATACCGGAAACGAGGGTCCGGGTTCCTGCCCAGCGGTAAGGTAGGATGCCTGCTCAATGGAACCCGTTTGAACCCATAAAACAGGCAAGGAAACATTGACGGATAGGGCTACCTGCTGGGGCCATGCAACATAGTTGTAACCAACAGACGGTTCTGTTGGCACAGAACTATTCTCCTCCTCCTCGAAGTATTGCTCCTGCTGAGTTGGTTTTCAGTCCGCATCAAAACAAATCTTGACGGAGGCAACACCCACGTTATACATCGATCCGTTCGATAGGTAGCAAGAATATGAAGAAAGGTTATCGAGATGAGGACAAGAGGCGGCAATCACCTTGAAATCAAGCGCTCTTTATATCCAGCTTACAACGACTTCCGAACTCCAGGTGCAGGCCGACGTAAGGGTATCGTCCCTATGCAATGCGTATATCCACTTATCAAATGCCATCTCTCCCCATTTTCGGCTAACGTAAACTCAGGAAGGGTAAGAATTGCCAACTCGAAATGAGTTCCAGGGGCTCGGAATATCAGGGCAGCCAATGGTCACAAGTCTGGATCCAGGGAAGCATCAAAAGGCCAGACTTCTTTTCGCTTTACAGCTGGACCGCCGGTTCCCCAAGCTCCGATCGACGTGGAGCCGTCTCTACAGATGAAACAACTTGAAAACGGACCGAGCATGGAAGCGTTACCCCCGCCGGCGTACCGCAGTGGCTCCGTCAGGTTGCATCGCGACGGGCTGCCCTTCAGCAACGCCCGGCGAGGTCTCGCGCAGAGTTTTAGACGCCACGAAGGTGCTGGCAAAGTGTCCAGGTACTTCTTGTCTTCCCTCTGACCTGCTTCCAGATCTTCACCTGTTTTCTCATGGCCTTCAGGGTGATGTTCTGGAGACTTGTATGTTTGATGGTCATCTGGTTTGGAAGCCGCGGCCCGAGGTATCGATCGGCGTTCGCGGCACTGCGGTACGGTAGAATGAATATATCCACAAATATTTTTGGGGGAAGCTTCCCTAATCGCGACCCCAAGCATACCATAATAAGCCATTCTTATTCAAATTTTGCCCGATGAGGGAATCTTTTCACATTCATCTATATATCTTGCCAATATCGGCACGCCCGTCGCGCGTGTTCAAGAAGTGACGAAGACATTTCTTGCGAAGATGGACACCGCTTTCCTCGTGTATTTGATAGGTGCGATGGTGAGCAGATAATTCACCTCGACACGCTGGAATGTCGTTTTGACAGCGTGTTTTAAGCGTCCTGCAGCTGATGCGGCATGACCGGCAGATCTGGGCACCTGCTATCACCGAGGACGAGGCTGTAGTTCCGACAGGGCCATGGGGTGACAGGTCAGGACAAAGGAGTTGCTCGCGCAAGCAACTGATGCCGGCGGCCCTTGATTGGTCGACCATGCGCGTCGTTCTTCCAACAATTTCATTGTCATACAAGTCCAACCAACGACGCCACGCGTACAATGCTAGAGACCCCGATTCCTTGCCTCATCCTTGATGGAGGACTGGTGCGTCCTTTACCGTCAAGAAGAGAGAATCTGCCTTGCTGCCTTGCTGCCCGTTCTGACCCAGATGATGGTGTTAGGGAACTACTATAGAAGAACTCGATGAACAGGTCACACATCATCCCTTGTGGTCTGGAAAGCTCTTACACGATAACCCAGAATTACTGGTTGACACGCACTTGCGTTTTCTGGAAGCAGGCGCAGATGTGATAGAGACAGCTACGTGCGAGAGCCTGCCCCTGAACACTACAGCATCGAAACCTTATCACCTTTGATCGTAGGTACCAATCCTGCCTTCCTACCTTTGTCCGTGCCGGATATGAGCAGGAAGAAGCGCAGGCATCGATATTATCGGCGATCACACTCGCCGAAGAGGCCATCCGGCGTTTTGAACAGTCTTCCGGAACACACAGACGACCCTTGGTAGCGCTTTCACTCGGGCCGTACGGTGCGCAGATTACACAAGAATACGGCGGCATCTATCCACCTCCATATGGCCCATCAATAGGAGCGAATATTCTACCTGCTCCCGAGACATCGTTCGCTTCGCCGGAAGAGGAAGTCCTCGCCGAGCTCGCGTTGACACAATGGCATTTCGATCGTCTACTATTATTTGCAACTTCTCCTTCGCACTGGAACTCAATCTCGTACATCGCGTTTGAGACCATTCCACTGCTACGAGAAGGCAGAGCCATCCGACGGGCGATGACTCGCCTCAGACCAATGGCAGAGGCGCGTGGGTTGATTTGGCCTAAATGGTGGATCAGCTTCGTGTTCCCCGAAGGGAAGTTTCCAGAAGTCAAAACCAGCGGGGAACCAATTCTTCCGCAGGACATCGCGAACGCAATGTTCGATGCGGAGGATGAGCGGAGAAACATCTTGATACCGGATGGTATTGGGGCGAACTGCACGAAGTTACAATTTCTTAAGCCCATCATTATTGGGTATGGGGAAGGGCTCCACCGTTCTTCCAAGGGTCGGCCTCCCGAGCTTGTTCTGTATCCTGATGGAGGATACCACTATGACACCAACGAGGGAGCTTGGCAGGCGCCTCACTTAAATCGCGATGGAACGGAGAGGCGCGCGGACGGAGTTTTGGAGCCCTGGGCTCGGTCGGTGGCTAGAATAGGAGCCTGGGGTGCTCAGATGACTTACGCAGGGCGTCCGATGTGGTCAGCCTTGATTGTGGGAGGATGCTGCAAGACTCTACCTTTAGACATCGCCGCACTAAAGCGTGAGTATGGTAATCATGTCTATTAGAAATGACAGTAGGAAGTGTGGACGTGTGCTTCACTGCTCTGGTATCTTGTATCAGGAAGGCGTTAAACATCAGATTCGGGCGGAATAACTTGCTGTGACCCCGACATAGATATCACAGGTGTCGAGGGTCTGTGAACAGAACAGTTCCGACTTCCTTCACATGCACTCAGGATCAGGGCAGAAATAGCCTTCGTGGAAGCTCGCAACACGACCCCGTCCCGGATTGGTTGACAAGCCGGAACTTAGCCGCAAGAATTAGTGTCGCCTGTGAGGAACCTTAGTCAGAGGAACATCACCCTACACACATGATCCGCAGATGAGAATACGCAGGGAGGCAAGGAGATGTTGCGATCACAGCACCCTAGTGCACGTACCCTTGTCCAGGGAGTGTGGAGGGTGTTGAACGTTAGCGTCGGCGGATGAGACGCCAGGCAGGCACAAGAGAAGAACGAGAAGAACACAGATTTGGCAGGAAAGTGCAAAAAATGTGTCGAGAGACCTTATATAGTGAGGCTGAGAACATGTGGCATGCACGATGTGACAATTTGTTGCAGTTTCGAGCAGAACATTCCACTGCCAGTGCCGAAGACGGGTGCATGCCGGTGGCTGGAAAAATGCACGGATCTGTGATGTGACGTTAGCGGAGAGGACGGAGATGACAAAACAGGTGTCATCACTAGCATCTGAGACTTTTTGAAGGGTCATCACCGGACTGCGATGGCGATTGGCGCAGTAGATCACCACGAGTAGTCTTCACCCCCTTGACTCGTTTGCTGAGTCGGGAATTGCAAGCACATGCGGGGCGTCGGTGATGACGAGCGCATCATTAGCATCACTTGTGATATTAGGCTTTGCGCTGCAGGGAATTCTAAGCATGGGTGCCATGGGCCCGAATTGGTGCCAAGCGCTGCCGCGAGACGGTGATCTCCAAACCAGTTGCAGTCAGTGTATGGAGAAGGGGTGACGCTCAGGCATGATACCAAGGGTCACATGTCTGTCGATTGATACGTCGATAGGTCACCGGGAAGAGCGGTCCGCAAATACAGACAGCCTGCTGGATGCTGCATCTTCGAGGCACCGGGTGTTGTCCTCAGATATATTGCAAGGCGTGATATTCTCGGGAGTAAGGGAGCCGAAGACTCGGTGTTCCCGGGTTTTGTCAACAAGGGATACATGGCTGACGCCGATACAGATGCTATTCTTCTTCACACTCCTCAACCTTTGACCATGTACAATGGGCACTACTTCCCTCCAATCCTGTCCAACAGACTGGCGGAAGTTGCAGGCCTAGACAGCCTCGACGCGAGACTGGCAGCACCACGAATGGTAAAGTTGTCATCCGCATTGGTCGTTCGGGTAGATGCACGCTTGAGGTCGACTCCGAGGCGCTCGGCAAGGCTGCGAGACTGTGGAGGTACTGCAGACGGCTGGCCGTCATTGGTGTCCAACATACCGCTCTGTGGCTTTACACCGTGGATTCGCTCAAATAAGCTTGCACTGCGGGTAGAGTTCGAATCTGTGCCCTCCGTTGACAATTTGGGTCGCTTCAATGGTCGATTTTCAGATGAAGAGTCAAGTCGAGAGGAGGTAAGGAGATCTGGTGTAGCAGTACGAGCACCCCCACGGTCGCGGTGGGGAAGAGGACTAGCTTCTGCAGCTATGAGGGTGCTTCTGATCATACTCAAAGCATCTTTTCCTCCATCCAGCTTGTCCTTGCTTGGTCGATCGCGGTCGATCTTCACGGGTGGTCTCGCGGCGAGTGGATCATCCATCTGATGACCTTCAGCCTTGCGCTTAACGCCAGGCGAAGGCGAAACGTTGGATACTCGGGACGAGGTCTGTCGATCTTCAGCGTAAGGAGCACGAATTTCTAGTTCGGAATAGACGCGACCGGACTTGGAAACGATCGATATGAGCAGACGCATGCTTTCCGCGCTGAGTCCCGACCCTCGCATATTCTTGGTTTCATACGCAAAGTGCAGCATCTTGCTGATGGGCCCAGCCCCGAAGGCATCACGGACAGGCTGAAGGTCCATATGCTGCAAGGCAAAATCAGACAGGGCATCAAAGTGGGAAGCGAATGACTTACTGTTTCACAGAGCCGGAAAATGTTGGCTAAGGCAACGTCCACGAACGCCCACATGTTCTCTTGATTCGCAGCACCTGCCTTCTCAAATGTCGCTGCCGCTGAATTAAGCAAATCTATCGTGACAGCCGCCACATCTCTTGCGAGGATTTTTTCATCGAATGCGGGGACGTCGGCCTTATCTTCTCTGCGAAGGTCTTTCCAAACAGTAATCGAAGCTTTGAGCCAGCGTTGCAGGGTTACGCTCCGCCCATATTCGTAGTGTTCGGCAACATTCCAGTCCTTCCACGACATACGAGCCCAAAATCGTACGAATGCCCGCGGATCGCCATTGCCACCTTCCGTCGCCTCTTGGGCTAGAGTATACAGAGCGAGCGACTCGTCATCTCCAAAGGCTCCACCTCTCTGTGACAGCGTTATTGCACGTTCAAGTAAGGAGGTGATAGATTGAGTTCTAAAGGGATTGGGTTGCTTTTGAGAGGTCCAGGACGGCAGCGATTGAAGAAGGGAAAGAAGCTGTTTGGCGTCACGTCGGGACGAATGAAGGAGTGCCTGGTACATGTCAACAAATTGGCCACAGGCGAAAGATGAGATCCACCTCAGAAACACCTCGATTAAATGAAGCTTCCGCCGAACTCCCCGAAGTGAGCTTGTCATGTCGTGTCTTGGTCACATCGGGAGTCGTGAGGAACTCTAGGACCAATCGCTTTAGGCTGCCCATCGATGCCTCGCCAGACTCATCTTCCGCTTCACCCGCCCGTGTCAGATGTTCAGTAATGACTTCAAATGCCGCAACCGGATCAGTTTGAATATGAGATATCAGGGCTTCGCGAATGACGCGAAGTTCGGTGGAGGAATCTGTATGTCGATCGTTAACAGGGTATTGAGGGTGCCAGTCCCGAACTACGAACCGCTCTGAAGTAGTTGCACGAGTACATCCGCATTGCGACGCGTCCAGCTGGGTACCGCTTTGCTCAACTCAACAATCGTATGGTAGCCTTGGATGCGAACAGCAGAGTTGGGATCCTCACAGAGATCATACACGAAGTCTATGACCTCTTCCTGCTGTTCGGACGCGAAGAGAGCAAAGGCCGACGTGAGAGAGGAGACAGAGCGGGTGCTATGAGGTGCATCCCGTGCACTATCCATCAATGTCTTGAATGCTCGTGCCCTCTTTTTGGTACTGTGAGTGTCCCAGTCGCATGATGGGGCGTTGGCTTGACTCACTTGTTCTTGTGAGGACCTCACATCGTCTAAGATGTCCTTCGCTTCGGTTCTAGGTGATTTCGTTCCCGATGGAATAGGTCTTGTGTAGCTTTGTGGTTGTCTTTGAGCATACTGTTGAGGTTGAGAGTATGCTGGCTGGACTCGTTCTCCTCTAAAGTTGCGATCATCCCTCCGCTGTTGACCACCTTGTTGTTGTGCGTTTCCGTTGGGGTACGATCCTGATACATAATTATATCGTCCTCGCTGCTGGGGTGGTGGCCCACGATAGTACGACATGGCAAGTAATAAGCAATGTCGCTGAGAGCAAAGGTACGGTCAACCAGTCACAAAAGCAGAGTAAAGGCCACGCAAGGCACAACTTCCGAGCGGCACACGACGTCTGATTCCGCTCTTGTTTTCACGTGATAGGGGTCTGTGCTTGCGAACTGATATTAATATTGTACCATCTTACCCTCTATTCTTAATCCCTCCAAACTGCTTGCTTAAAGAGCAACTGTCTACGGTTCATGGATGGCCGATGCACGATTAACGCTCACCCATAAGTCCCAAGCCCTCGAGATTCTGCGCACCACCCATCAAGCCTCGATCTCCGAGTTGCAGATTGAGGCCCTTGATGATCTAATACCTACTCTGCAGGAGGAGCTTGCCTTGGATGAGAAATGGAGGGAGTGGGCAGAGGCCTACGTGGAAGATGACGGTAAAGTCCGCCTGATGCGATTCTGTACCTGGAAAGCTGACAATATACCAGGTACATTGTTTCGCATGCACCGAGTAAACGCGCTCTTCACCAACTCCTCGTTTGATTCTGTCTCACGATGACACAGAAACATGGGTTTTCAAAGTCCTCGACGTTCTCTGCCCTGAGAAACGCTCTACTTCTTCCACCTCCACGTGCCGAACTTTCTGAGCCACATCCATCAGTAACGTTAACGATCTCGCCGCCTGATCCTCCGACGCTACACATCTGCCTCACATACCTTACCCACACCAGTCTACATAGCTTCAAGCAGACACTCCTTTTTTGCTATGAAAAGCTCCGACTGTATCTTCTCGAACATGAGCAGCTAGGTTTCTATTGCGTGTTAGATCTGGGAGGTGCACGAATTCGCGATATCGTGAGCACGGCCATTCACTTGTGATCAGTCGAACCAATAGCACGACTCGACAGCTTTCAGACATAGTACCCTGGTACACCACCGATCTGCAACCAAGATACCCATCCATGTGCGCAGCTAGTAAGTCTCCCCACTATCGCCATCTTACGTGAGCTGATATTCCTTCACAGCCTTCATCATCAATTATACCTGGATGTATGGCGGCCTGTGGTCTGTCTTCCGGTATGTTCCTCCAGTGGCTCATCAGCGTCTATGTGACTTGGTTCAGCCGCATCGCCCCAGCCCAAGCCCTCTCCCGGATATTCTTCGTCACGATGGAGGACCTCGAGATGTACTTCCCTGCATGCTTGGCTCCACCTGAGCCCCTCTCACCCGTGTACTCCTATCCCAGCCTTTCGCATGTCAGTTGGGAAGAAAGACCACATTCACCAATTCATTTCTCTGTGCTCGAGCATCCACCACCACAGAGGACAAGATGGAAGCTTTTCATGACACTGACACGTATGTTAGGGGAGAGGATGAGGAGTGCAAGGTGGTGGAAACGTTGGCGCTGGTTTGGGTGGATATTGCTTCTCCTGGTTGTACGGTGGTGGTTTACCCGGAGACGTCCACGTCGACCTGTCCCACGATGACAGGTGTATGAATAGATAATGCAATTCTGCCTGCGATCATTGCTATTTGAGTTCACCGAACAGGTTACAAGGGCAGCAGACGTATTTGACATGTATTCGGTACAAATCGGTACAACCAAGCTCGCGCAGCGTCAGGGCAAGCCACGAAATGTTCCAACAAACCACGACAACCAGACCACAGGGAGAAAACCAATAACCATGGAGCAGTGACACCAGAATGGATCAACCGAAATGGAGGGCATTAAGCATCGACCTTGATCGCGTTCTTCTCTTCTCCTGGTCCCGTCAGACCGACACTTGCAGCCGCCACACCAGCGGGGACGTTGACGCCAACCAAGAGTCCTCGGAGCCAGCCGTTCTCCTTCCTCAAACCCTCCGCTTCCCGCTCGAGCTCCACCACCCGCGATTCTAGATGTTTCAGGTTACGCTCCATCGCCGCCTCCCGCTCCTTCTTCTTCAAACTATATCGGAATTAATAGGATGCTCGAGCGTGGATGTTATAGTACCCACCGGAAACGAGCGGACGCAGCCGTGTTCCTCCTCCTCTTATCTTCCGCTGGGGTCAGTGGGACACCGCTCTCATATTTTGCCATCAACGACTCCATCTGCTGTGCACTGAACTCGGCATCTGAACTGGCAGACACGCTCGCTTTGCGACCGCGCGCCTTCTTCAAAGGTGGTTCTCCCGAAGTATTCTCTGCGGAAGCGCTGCTAGAGAGGGCATTAAAGGCAGCAGAACCCCAAGCAGGCGCCTCCGGGAACGACGGGAATCCAGCGGAAACACCAGGGAATACGGATTGTACGCCGCCAAACTGGCTTAGAAAGCCATCGAGGTCGAATTCATTGGTGGGAGGAACGTGTTGAGATGGGAGTGGTTCGTCTGATTGGAAGGTGAGGTTGGTCCAAAGTTCGAGTTGAGACGCAAGTGAAGGAGGGAGTTCTAAGTCGGTATCCTGAGTGTGGGAGGTGGAAGGGGGAGCGGAGATTGGAGTGTCTGGACCAGATGTAGCGGGGAGGGATGACATTGGCACAAGGGGATGGATGCGTTGACGAGGCAAGGTGATGGGTGGGTGGAGGTGTGGTAGATGGATGTCGTTATATGCAAAGGGTGTCGAGGGAAGAGTAACGTCGTCGTTGTTGGTAGGTGAGCCTCCGAGGATGGTGATGAACAGGATAGATAATGATAGAAAAGCAAAGGAGGAGATGAACTGTCGAGGGGAAGGAGGAGGAGGATGAGGTCGATGAGGAGTCAGGTTCCAAGGTGGTGGTCAGGAAGGAAGGAACGACAACTCGTCAAAGATTTTGGCCGGTCCGCACCACCCATGAAAGGGTGCACACCACACCCAAAAAGGGGATGAGACCTCTCTTTAGTCAGCACCAATCAGATCCCGAATTGGGCGCCACACACACCGGACAAACGGGAACGTAACGGCCGATCCACCGACTGGACCACTCCTATTCTACCCGAATTAGTCTTATTTTCAGTCTTGGCTCAGGCACCTTAATCATTCACGCTTAAAATACGTAACTTATTCCCTTCCTATTCTAGCCTCCCCGGGTTTGTCCCGCCGGGCATACACCCTTCCTTACCGCATGGATCACCCCAGGTCATCAATTGCTACACGATCATTGAATACATATCCCTGGCTGGTGGTCTGTCTTTCCTGAACATAGGCTTAGGCCGATTCGCCTCATCAGCTCTCAAGGTATAATCATTCACATCATGTCAAGGTCCTACAGCGGTCGTTATATATATGCTAAATCACAACAATAAACAAGATCATCAACCACAACTTAGAAAATCTCTCATCACACCGCCAAGGCAGCATCGATCCCGCCCTTTCTCTTCCCGGTAGGGGCATTCCTCTTCCGCGTTCGGGATGGGCTCGGAGCTGCTGCTCGCGGTGTTCCTTTGTGTTTCGACCCCATGCTGTTCGACATACTTCGCGTCTTCGGCAGCGAGGCGCTCTTCTTCAGACGTAATCGCTCAGAAGATCGTTTCGCTGGAAGCGGTCGACTCGGGCCCTCTGAATGCCGGGACGTCTGCGGGGTGATTAAAGGCCCACCTGTCACGGCATGATAACCCCCGGGAATGTTCACGTAGCTGGATGACAACCCCTGCAAGTGGAATATTGAAGTACTATGGAAACCTGTCCACGATTCTCCAGGCAGACTACCCGAGACTTGGCTCTCTGGAGTGAGCGGGGCAGTTGACGGTTCAGCAAAGATCTGATCGGGTCGTGCATGAGACTGCTGCAACCACGGGTGCTTCAGTGCTTCCTGCAACGTTATGCGCCGTTTCGGATCCTCTACAACCAGCTTAAAGAATAAATCCTTGGCTGGCATACACCATCAGTCAGGCAAGGTGCAACGAGAGGACCAAAACCTACCTTCATCGCTCACACGATTCAACAGATCTAACCTCATGATCTCGAGTCTTGGCGACCACGTCGGATCTCCCTTCTCACGCGAGGGAAGGGCATAGTGGCGGGTCAACCTGTGGAAGATTAGTACACCAGATTTGCGGGAGTAGAGAAGCAACGCCTACATCGTGAACAGGATCAGGCCGATTGCCCAGACATCGATGCTCGCATCATATGACTTCTTCCGTGGGGAGAACACTTCCGGTGCCATGAAGATTTCGGTCCCGCAGAAAGTCTACAGACCCAGTCTCATTACGCTCAGTCTTTTCCCTCGGTCATCTGCGCACCTTCAAGGCCGTCCGACTGTGTGCGGTTTTCGACAGTCCAAAATCGGCAATTTTTAGAATTGGTGGGTTATCCATGGTTATCATAATATTTTCCGGCTTGAGATCTCGGTGGACAATACCACGACTATGCAAGTACGCCATGCCGTGAATCAGCTGACGAAAGAGATAGCGCGCTTCATCTTCGTCTGTAAAAATGATTAGAACCCGAAGAGACACTCAAGAGAATACAACGTACTCAATTGGTGCTGTACTAATAGCTTCTGCAAATCTGACCCTCGGACAAGTTCCATCACGATGTACAGCTGGTCTTGACAGTTGTATGCACGGTAGTATCGCACGACATTCATATGGCTGCTGACTTGCTGCATGATCTCGCATTCGCGCTCGATGTTGACGAGTTCGGACTCTCTCATCGCCATCATCGTCTTCCTGATTATCTTGACGGCAAACTCTCCTCCCCCAAGGAATCTCACCGCCCTATGGACCGTACCAAATCCCCCACCGTTGAGAGATTCCTGGGATTAGTCTGAGGGGTAGGTCATCGCAAAGAGGTAGATAGAAACGTACACAGAGTTTGTACTCGGCATGAAAGGCATCGTTCGGTGCTGCGTTGGATGGTGGTATGCTTGGCGCGATGAACGCAATTTGTAGGTACTCCTCAGGGAGATTCGCACGCCGCAGCTCCTCGCCATCCACTAATTGGATAGACTGACCCCAAGTGATCGGTATCGCGTGCCCTTGTGGCACCTCCGTCGACCCAACGAATATCCTTTGTGAGCCCCGGTTCTGTACCGTGAAGTGCATGCTCGTAGGCATCCAATCTCCCGTAAGTCGCGTATCAGCTCCTCGACCAGGTATACCATAACCGTTCCATGTGATTTCGAATACGAGATTGGGGAGGAGATGCTTGAGATAGTCGGGTGCCGAGTCTGCTGGGGATAGGGTGTGCCATGCAATATACACAAGTCTATCCGCAAAAAGATGTGCTAGTTTGATGCCAGGTCCCATAAGCTTTCCCCAGCAAGGCGTTCCTGAGGCTGCACCATGGGCCGGCTCAAATGAAGGTGGGGCGACGAGTTGCGATTGTTGTGGTTGAGTGATCGCTTGCCCGACTCGTCTTCGTCCTTGTGCTCGTCGTGCCTGCGCTGCTGGCGCCATTTTCTAGATGACGGTGGGGGAGGAGTGAGCAGACGCGAAGAGATGGAATCCCATCAGGAGACACCACTGGTGGCACGGGTCCAGATAGACTCGGGTGGCCACTGGCGGATACATCCATCTCCGAGAGGTTCTTCTGCTGGTGACACATTCTTCTCCTGGTCCGAAACATCGCCGTTCGCGCGAGCAAAGACTGATTTTACGGTCTCAACTCACCAGTTCGATGCCGAATCAGTGTTTCCGACTCTTCAGCTAGGATACGCACTTCACAATACGCTGGAATCCAGGGACCACCGTTTGGCTCCCGTGGATCCAGTGTATCAAACAGAGTTAAGCTAGGTGCGGTTTTTCCTGACTCCCTCCTACTCGCCTATTTAGAAGGGCATATTTGCACCAACTGACGCATTTGTTTTTTTGTTTTTGGTAAAAATTTGGTCCTGCACAAAGCGAGCATTTGTCACCGGAGGACCGAATATGATGTGGTCCATTGACAGGACGGAGCGTCTGAGCTCTCCGCCTAATATTCAGGTGCTCGTTAAGTAGAGCTTGTTTCCAAGTAGCTTTCAGCAAACATTTTGTCAACTGTCCCTTCTATAGTGTGACCTCTCCAAATATAGCCCTGAGATTCAGTCACCTCGTTGCTGAGAAGGGACTGTGCAGATAGAGGTGTCCAAGGGGAATTGGGTTAAGGATGTAAGCCCTGACGTAGGGTTAGGGTTAGGGTTAGGGTTAGGGTTAGGGTTAGGGTTAGGGTTAGGGTTAGGGTTAGGGTTAGGGTTAGGGTTAGGGTTAGGGTTAGGGTTAGGGTTAGGGTTAGGGTTAGGGT